TACTACCACTACCACTTCTATTTGGCCTGTTTTGTGTAAACTGGACTGCAATGACAAAATATGCTGCTTTATAAACAATCAGGCCTCAGTACAATTCAGTACTGTAAAGGTTTACTCAGATATGAGCCACAAGGTATTTAACAATGCTCCTGTTGCTAAGTATGCATAGGATTGTGGCCTAAGGGTGCTACCGGTCAAAAGACATGTACAGTTGTAAATACAGTAGGATACCCTCCTCCCTGCCGTATCTGCTGGGAATCGGTTACAAGCCCCCCTAAATGCATGCCAACAAATATGGATTATAGCAACCGCTATTATAATAGCAAATGTTATACATAGCATGGCCTCTGCCTCCCTCTTGTGGCCAGCTCTAGTAATTATAACATTATAAATATATATTTCCAGGGATTGTTCTTTTAATATTTTCAGAGTGTGGACAAGTGAATGAGTGGATACTGATCCTGAGGACATGACGTTCCTACCGTAATTTCTAAAAGCTAAATATTCTGGGTGGACAAGGGTCACTTATATACCTGGATGTTGGACACTGTGTTTTTTAAATCAAACAGTGCTCTACAAAAGAAATCCATTGTATTTAAGGTCCTTGTCTGAAACACTGTGACCCCGCCAAAAAAAAACAACCCAGTTAATTTTTGCATATGAAATAGAGCAGCACTTTAAAAGGCCCATGCATGCAAGCATTCTGTCTGTACCCCAGAATTCTCGCCAACACTTCCTAAGAAACCACTGGACATGAATGTATGGGAAAGTTACACATATTTATATTCTGTGGAAACTCAGGGTCAAACACTAAAAGTCCCACTGGATTCTGACTCTGTGATTTTTACAAGTACTTAGGAATATTCAGTAAAAAGAACCAGAATGGAAGGCAGCACCTTCTGATGTATATGCCTGACTGCAAATTTGGGCTAGCTACTTCCATGAAAAGAATGGAAAAGCCCCCAAGGCTTCAGACTCTCTCTGAAGTCAAAAGTGATTTGAAATTGACTTGAAAAACAAGATTGACAAAGATGGCTAATTTTTCTGCAAGGAAGTTTCTTTATTCTCTCGCTCGACAAGGGCAGTAACTGGTTTTGGGAACAACGGGGTGGTAGAGAGATATTTATTTCTGATTTTATTCTACTTTGTATTTTTGCCTCAAGCATGGATTTGTAATAAAGTTTGTTCTAAGCTGTGCCTTGCAGTTCACTGAAGGAAGCAGGAAGAAGTTAAAAAAATCAGAAATTAAATAAATATTTTAGCATGTTACCAGAGCTTAGAAATAACTAGTTACATGCAATGTATATTGCAACTAGTTACTGCTGGGGTAAAAAGGGTGTAATGGTAAGGTAACATTTCAAAAGTAATCTAAAAAGTAGGAATGAAGATAAGTTACTGGTGAGGCATCATATTTATTTTCTAGTCATTTTAAAAAAATTACCTTTCACAAGTATTTTAAGGCATTGTTGAAAGGAGGAATTTTTCAGATTTTCCACATTCTCTCATCAGTCCAAAAGATAACAAAAAAGGAGCAAAGAAAAATGTCACACAGCAGCACAATCAGTCAAAATCTTGGCCATAATCCTGTTGGGTAATCATGCCAGCTGAACAGCACTAAATTGATGCTCACAAACAAAACACTGCTTGGATTTCTGGTTGTGCTTCATGTCGATCAACTGACATGCAGTGAGAAATCTAAGTGGCTTCTTGTTTATTCACAATGATTTGCGTTGTGAACTACACCAGCGCCCTTCTGTCAGGGTAACTGAGCAACACGATTTTGCCCAATGAGTTACATTTTCAAAATTCGTAACAAAAAACAAGCAAAAAACAAAGGCTTTGGCCAATTGGTAAGAGTTTGGAGAAGTGGATTACAACCCACGAAAGCTCATCCTAAAATATCTTAGTGTTAAAGAGGTGACAAGCCTTTCTTTTTGTTGACGCGGTTTGTCTAACACGGTGCTCCTCTGAAAATGTTTTCAACACGATGTAACAACATTCAATTTTCAAACACCGCAATGAGTAACAGGAAAGGGGAAGCATTTCCCAAGCTTTCCAAATCCACACTGTGCTAGTAAAATCTCAACTGGGATTATTTTCTGGACACCACAATTCTGAAAGGATGCTGACAAACTCAAAAATAGCACTTTTCAAGTCTTGAAAGGTGGTCATACAGAGGAGGGGCAGGATCCTTTCTCAATCATCCTGAAGTGCAGGACAAGTAAGAATGGGCTTAAGCTAAAAGAAGACAAATTTCGGTTGAATATCAGAAAAAAACATCTTAACTGTTAGAGCAGTATGACAATGGAACCAATGAGGAAGTGGTGAGCGATCCAACGCTGGAGGCCTTCAAGAGAAAACTGGACCACCATTTGTCAGATCTGCTTTGATTTAGATTAGACACAGGGATGAAAATAAAAACAAATCAGGATATTTGTGAAATATCCCTGATTCATCAGATATTCTTTGCTTTGAATTCTTGAGGTCCAGAACCCCCAATGAATATGAAGCAATGAGTACAGTATAAACCTTTTATATTTGTCCCTGCTTATGCCCCCGTGGATCAGCTGTTCCTCAGGGGCATAAGCAGAGAGGGATTTTCCCATCTGGCGGCTTGCTAAAGCCTGCCCAAAGGGAATCCCACCCCCAGGGTTGGGGGATGGCTTGGTTCCCCTTTCCTCCTCTTCCTATGACTGCATGGCATAAAAGGGAAGGGATCAAAGGGATCCCTTTGATCCCTGCTTTCCCCCTTCTTCCTAAGCCCCCCAGGGCTTAGGAAGTGGAGGGGGAAAGGGATCAAAGCAAGCCCACAGCCATGGCTGCAGCAGCATGATTGCTTTGATCCCTGCTTTCCCTCCTCTTGAGGGAAAGAAAGAAAGAAAAAAGAAAGGAAAAAGACCCGACGAATGACAAATTGATTTGTTGTTCCTCGGGTCACTGGGGCGCAATTCATGATTCACAAATTGGTTCATTTTGGCGCTTCGTCCCCATCTCCAGTTTGGATTCCTGCCTTGAGCAGGAGGTTGGACTTAGTGGCCTTAGAGATCCCTTCCAACTCAGTTATTCTATGATGCAGAAGTCAACTATAAAAAGCTGATAGCAGAAGCATTAATCAGGCAAACGGCTAGAGGTAGCCAGCTTACCTATTGTCTAGGATGTTAACCTGGATGGTATTGTGTGATAAAACCTGGCACCTTCTAGTACCATGCACTTTGGTTCTTCTTTGATAGGGGACAAAAGAAAGAGAAAGGGGGGGGGGCAAATGTTGCTGAATAATGTTTTAAAATAACAGTTGTAAAAAAAACCAGGAAGTTAAACATAACCCAAAAGAGGAAACAAAAAAGCAAAAGAGCAGAGGAACAAAGATTTATGTTTCCTGAACCCAAACAGAGCTGAAACATTATCTGAAAGTCTTGAACCAGAACCAGCCAGTTTAGAAGGAGAGGTCAAGGAAAATCTGCTATGCAAATCCATTTGAATGTAAATGTTCTCCTGGCAAAAAGTAGCACACCAGTTAAGAGCATGTGCGCTAATCTGGGGACCAAATCTTTATGGATCTGAACCTGAATTAAACTGAAGCAACTTCAGTTGCAGCTGGATTTTAAATGGCTTTTCTCTTTGTGCTCTCTGTCTCCCATTTTGTTCACAAAGAGCGGGAAGCGGTCCACAATCACACCGTGAAGTTCCAGGCTGAGAACAGGGATTTGCAGCCTGGTCTCCCCACTGCATCGTTAATTTGCACAAATTAAATTGCAACCTCCTATTGGCACTGCAGGTCATTTCCAAGGAGGACATGTCGTACCAGGTCTAACAAGCTTCCCATGGTTTCCCGTCTGACATCAGTTCTTCATTGTAGAACAAATCTTAATGCTTTTTAGAGACCTTTATCTTTAATGATTCAATCAAGTTGTTATTTGGAACAGTGGAAAAGAAAATAATAATTTGTAAAACAATGGTATGGGTTATGTGTTTGGCACTGAAGCATTTTGAAGTGATGCTGAAATCAAAGAGAAGTGTTTTCTTAACGTTAATTTCCTGGTTATCCCCCCCCCCAAAAGAAACCCCAGGCCTAGACATCTAACTTTGAGAGAGAACCACACTGCTCTCATCTTATATTTGCAGAAGACAGATTTCATGGATAAATGATGGCAAAAAGCCCACGCTGTGTCACACATTCAGTTCACTTCATGCATGCACAGAATGGGGAAGCCTCTGTCTACACAAGACAAAACTCTGCTACTAAACCGCAGAGTTTTTTGGGATTTGGTTCTTGTTATCATGCCTTCAGTTGCCTTTAGAAAAATTCTTTCTATTGGCTTTTGGGCCACTGTTATCAATGTTTTAAAAACATAGCTGGGGATGCCTTCACATGTTCTCCAGGTTTAGCAGCAGCAAACACCAGAGCAGATGCAATGCCTAAAAAGTGCTTTGTAGACCATCATTTGACTCCGTATAGAATAGGCGCTGAACTTGCTCTGCCTGGGGCCTCCCTCTGGCAAACCCTTCCGAGAGCACGAGGGACTCCAGAACACTCAACTCATGTTCCTTTTTACTCCAATGGGACCTCTCCTTGATTTTAACCTCTGGCGGAAACGGAGGACATCAGCAGCGACGCTCATTTCATCTAACAGATGGAAGAAAACCAAAACGTTGACTCTCCGGATCTAGACCCCTGTGCCTAATCAGGTAGAAATGAAAGTCAGATGGGCAGCATGTTGAAAACGGCAGCCTCAAAACCACCGGGAAAATGCAAGCCACCTTTAGGCTCGCTGTGGTTTGCTGGGCGGTGTTTCAACATACCTGCCGGACTTCCATTTCACTCATCGTGGCGGCAGCTGCATGAGCGCTGGTGTATCCTTCCGGTGACCACATCTGCCACCACTTCTCGCTGATGCCTCTTTGCATGGCTGGTTATTATTTTGCCTGTCTTTCCTAACAGACTCCTTTCTCATGACGATTGGAAGCGAGAAAGCTTGGCCTCCTATTTTCTAGCAACTGGATCGGAGTACTCAAAGTTGGGCTGAATGAATGCTCATAGACGAATCTTAGTACTCTCCGAGGGTCTTTCTTCCATCAGTTTTCTCAGTGCGCTATTTCTTGTGCTGAAAAAGGCAGGATAGGTAGCCTCAAACGGAGTCCCCGTGCATCCAGTGGGGCCGAATGGTTTAACTGTGATGCTCCGTTGAGAGCAAATCTGTCCATCTTCCCAATCAAAGATGAATTCCTGGCTTTTGCTGGTCTTTGGGCTCATTTATTTCACAGATGTGTATGTGGCACGTTTGTACGGAAATCACCTGTTGAGGTTATCCTTCTTTTTCACTTTTGTTTTTCGGAAAAGTGAAACGGGTGAATTAAGATTAGTTTAGGAGACAGGAAGAAGCCAGCTGGAGATACTGCTATCAAAGGACAGCGTACAATTTCATGAAATAACATTTGTCCCCTTGTCTATCCGAATTGCCAGGGGGTTACTCTTATCAACAGCTGTCCATGCTGCACACTGGCTGGGGCCTGCACCCTGTTCTTCTTCAGGGGCCCACTGAGTGCCTTTGGCAAACTCACAAGTAGGACATGAAAACCATCTCTCACCCGTACACTTTGTCCCTACTCCCTGACATTTCGAACCATATGGGCCCTGCTCCCACCCGAGTGCCAGTGTATGAACCATTTTTGCAGATCCAGTATCAACCAGTGGAAACTATAGGATGTCTGCAGATCTCATCCTGGCCAATGCTTGAGTCTTGTGAGCATGGCTCTTTCTGCATGGCTGTCTGGTTTCTGTCTCAGCAAACGTGTTATTATTTGCCTGCCTGCTTTCTTGTTTCCTGCTAGGGGACTGGCTGTTGGAAGTTGTCAGTATCATTTCTAATTAGCAAAGCATTTTATAGTACTGTATTTAATCCAGTATGGGAAATTGCCAATTCAGTCTAAAACAGATGGTTTTCACCAAATAATGATACAGGGTGATCGTTCCCATTTTACAAAAGGACACTGAGGTAAGAGGTAGTGGCCTAGCTAGAACAGCATAAACACATAGGTTTACTGTTGGTTCCACCAGGGTTTTCTGCTAATTATTATTAGCAGTGGTACAGGAGCCTAGAGTTTGCAATTTGTCAGTTCCACAGTAATCGCTGCTTTTACTCAGGTATGTACACAAGAGCGCTCTGGCAGAGATTCCCAGCTATTTCACCAAGGAATAAACCTTCCACAAGGTAGAGCTATGAAACTTTGATTACTGTAGTGCTGACATGCTGTATGTTTCAAACTCTCACCATCATGAGGAAATAGGTCCTTATTTATCTACCAATGATTTCAGGGTCATACTAGTGATTTTGAATGTCCATTTTCCTTCTTCCCCTCTTGTCAAGATCCAACCAGTGGTGAACTGAACATGGGTATGTTTCCTCACAACTTGCTTGTTACCGCCTTGGTGATTCATGGTGTGATTACAACCTCTCCTTTCATCATCCCTCAGTTTGGCCACCATGCATGCAAACTCTTTGTGTTTTGCAAGGGCAGGTTGAATTCTACCCAAATGGAATATGTGCAAAACCAATTCACTGTACCAGTGTTATTCTGCTTGTTTCCTCACCTATACCTCACAGCAATCTATAAAATTCTTCCAATTGATTTTAGAGATGGTCCTGAACAGCCGGTTTGGTGATTCAAGCCGGTTCGTTCAACCTGCTGAATCAGCTGTTCATACACGTTTCAAATGGTTTCTTCATGAAACAAGCAAACAATATGACATAGATCTAAGTGAACCAAGAAACACACAGTAATGCATTAAAAAAGGGAGCAATTTTTAAAAATTGGCTGGCCCAGCCAAGGTATTGCAGAAAATTCAAAGTGCCCATTTTAGCCTAGGCAAATTACTGGTAATCTGGATCCCCAAGCCATGCTGAAACTAAGGGGAGTCATGTAAGTAACACTGGAGAGAGAAACACCGGTCAGATGGAATGTTTGAGTAGCTTGTTTTGCTCCACTGTGCTCAGTAAAAAGGCCAATTAATTTTAATTTATGTTAGCAACCTACACAGCCTTCAGACAATATTCTGATGGTCTGAAGCGTGCCTCTCCTTCAAGGGCTCCTGTAGAAGCTGTTACAATAGAGGTGATTACAGCATCATCACAACAGATCAGGGACATTTCCTTCCATTATCACCCACTGACTGGCTGCTTTTCTTCCTCTTCCCCCCATTCCTGCCTCGACTCCAGGTTTTGTCCTGTCCGTTGTATTAACCAGCGGTCTGAGTACTGTTGCTCTCATGGCCTTAGCCTTCTGGCTCATTCGAAGGAAGAGGAGGTAAGACTTTTTTCAGGACCTTAACCAGAGCTCATAAAACCACCTGATTAGTATAAATATCCCATTAGTCTAGACTGCCAGAAATGGAAAATACCTAGTCTTTCGCCTTCCCGTCTTGGGAGAACAAAGTTTTTAAAATAATTGCTTATATTCCCCATTGGTATCTTCAAAATTTCAACCCTGGCAAACCTAAGATGTTCTCTTTTTCAGCAGCACAAGGACCAAGGAAGAGAAAGGAGTCAGCTACAAGCCAGCGGTAACCAAAGAAGAGCAGAGTATCGCCAAAGCTTAAGCGCTGCTGTGGGCCACCCTGGGAGCCACGGATTTGTGCCTTTGGCTCAATATTTAGGCTCCCTTGGCAGCTCAACAGCCCAAACATTTGGTTATCTCTTGCCATTGTTTATCCATTAAATCAAGGTGGGATTTTTTTTCCGGGGGCAGGAAAAGGGGTACATTTAGCTATTCTCTTTTGTGGAATAAGATATGAAAGAAGAGCAGACAGGCTTTTGAGTGGTTAAAAAACCTTTAACACATAACCAACGAGATTCAAAAGAATATCAAACAACATATGAGGAACTGGTGAGGAGCAAAATGAGACATTGAAGAAAGCCTTTGAAGGATTCTCTGCAGTCTCAGTCAGATAAAATGATCACTGGGGATTGTGAGGAACCACAGCCATTAAGAGTGGATCCCGATTCAAGCACCAGTACAGCCAATATTGTGATTTGTGTGGGAACAAGAAGAGCAGAGAAAAATGGGAGGAAAATTAGCTCGTTGGGAGAGGCCTGCTTTCAAAGCTGGGTAGTCAGATGAAAAATAAAAACGAAACGGCAGTTAAAATGCCACAGATATTGTGGTCCTGTTCTTACACGAAGCACATCTGGAGAAGAGGGCAACCTATAAAGGTATTAGCACATCTGGATACTTGCTATTTGAAAAACCCTTATTGTACCTTAAAAGTTAGGAAGTAAAAAAGGGGGTGTGGTTTAAACTCTACCCAATGATTTCTCTCACTTCCCACACAAAGGGTGAGTTGCTGTCCGGCAGAATTCTAGCATGGGCCCCCCCTTCAGTCAAAAGCAGAACATCCCATGGTAGTCTAATACTAACACAATGAAATTTCTGTTCTCTGAACAGCGAACCGAACCAAAATGATGTGCTTAATCAAGGGTTGGCTTAAACAATTTTAAGGTCAGACTCTGGGCCTTCTAAAAATAAGAAATAAAACCTGTCCAGTCAAACCCTCTTAACATCACTATTTACGCTGAGATTATAACAAAGCGAAAGTGTCATATAAATGTTTGATTATGGCCATAACACCTTTGTTTCTTTGTTCTGGTGACAATAAGTGGAAGCTGGCACTGTATATAGGACATTCCACCTTATGATATCAAATCTTGTATAAACCAAAAATTGTTAATTCCATGTTTATGGAACATCACACAATAAATATTTTAATAAGAATTTTGTGGGGACTCCTTTTCGCCTTCACATGTTCACCCACCTCTCTCACTAAATTCTGCTCCTGAGTGACCGACCGCCAGGAAATCATCTGTCTGCTTCTTCTCTACAACCTACTGATGACTGAGGATACTTCTGGGCTGCCTTTTTAACCTGGTCTCACAATGCCCTATTGACTGCCATTTGGGGCTGGAGGGAGAAGATCTGGACACCCCCATCTTCAATGTTCAGCCCTCCTGGGTTTCCCCATTCTTACAAAAAACACACAACAACTTCAAACACTCCCACACAAATATTACACAAGAGCTATGGGGGTGGGTAGGAACCCAAATAAGAGAATGAATTATTGTTAGAGTTTGAGCCCCCTACAAACTTGGCTAATGTTTTTATTCCTTCACGGCCACAAACAGGAATGTGAACAGCAGACCCAAGTTCAGATGGCTGAAACCAAATAAATCTTAAAGGATAGCAAGGATATTCATAGAATGACTCCTATTTCATATTTTGGAACAAAAACAACACACACCCGGCCATGTAAGAAAGAAGCAATTTGACTGCTGAGAATAAAACCTGGTTTTTAAACCTTAAAAAACCGAGCACACCCAAACATCAGAGGTTGACACTATATATACCCTGCTAGTGTTTAAATTGCAGTATATGTATCGACTTGCAATGTAATCGGTGTGGATACTTCAGGAATGCAAGTTCCACCAGTGTTTTGTTTTTGGAAACAATATTGTGACACGCTGGAATCGCACACGTGTTCAGTCTCAAGGCAAAGCGACTGGGTGGTACCACCTAGTGGTAGAATCCTATATATACATCTCTCTTTCTCAAACTCTTGTGTCAGATATACAGTATATAGTACAGTATATAGGATATATACTAACCAGTGTTGTGTTTCTTGTTCCTATATATTAACAGTTTTTGGTCTTGTTCCTATATATATATATATAGGAACAGGAAACACAACACTGGTTAGTCTTATGCTTTGATTGGGGCTGAGGAGGGGCGAACGGTGTCTCTCCAGGGATGACTGGCCTTCAGAAGCCACCAAAACGGAACAGAACTGTGCAAGCTTTTGGAGCTTCACAGAACTCTCCGTCAGACTAGACAACTCCCCCCCAAATAATAATAACAATAATAAATTTAAAAACTGCAAGGAACAGACCCCCCCCCCCAATGTTGGTCCTGGTCGGTGCTGATTGACTAGGAATTGGCCCATTCTCTTTTAAGGCGAAAGGAGAAATACAAACATTTATATTTAAATAACAAATAAATAAAAGGTGAGAGGATCCTAAGGGAGGGGGGGGGGAAATAACGCAGGCCTGGGGATCCTGCCCCCTTTGACCTAACTCTGTCCAGTCAGAAACTCAACAGGTTTTATTGGGAAGAACTGCCGAGCCCCGCAGCCCTTTGGGGGGGGGAAGGCAGCGTCTTAGGGGGTCTGAGGAAAAATCATCATTATTATTATTATTATTTCTGTTGCTGCAGGGGTTGCCGTCCATGAAAAACAGGAAAAGCCAAATAATAATAATAATA